GTTTAGGGTTTAGGGTAAAGGGTTTTTGGTTTAGGGCACTGGGGTTTAGGGTTTTGGGTTTGGGATTTTGGGATACTTGGAGGTTCATGGGTAGTTTATAAGTGGGGTTATAAGTAAGGTAACTACAACTGCAACTCATATTAGGGGACTTATAACTCCACTTATAACTACCCATCAACCTCCAAGTACCGGTGCGGGTACTGATAATCACAGTGCTATTAATTACGGCTGTTTCTATTGCTCTAATTCCTAATCCATTTCTTGTCATTCTTATTCTAGGGCCTTCTTGCCATCATCGTGGCTACGGCAATTTCATCAGTTGCTTCTCGACAGTGTTTGACTATTCGTGTGTTTTCCTTGCTGCAAGGGCCTTGCGTTTCTGGGAGTGGGGCATTCACGTTCAGTAAGCCGATGTTGCATCCAAATGATGCTGCTGCTGCAGACACAGTAAGTACATTCTTACGCCACAACTACAAGTATATTATAGCCCTACAGTTTATACCATGACTACGGGCAGCGAAAAACCCGGAGCTTCTCGATGCCTGCGCTGTCCTATAAAATCCGAAGCTTGAAGACCTCACTTATATCATGATGATTTACGGCGTAAGGGTTTGGGGATGACGGTGGCGGTGATGCTGATGAAGACGAAGGTGTTGATGTAGATATTGTTGAGGCAGAAGCAGATGATGATATGATGGCGATCATGATCATAGCCTAAGCCCGGTGGCTTGCATCCTTTCCGTTATCATCGAGAGCCAGGCGAACAAGAAGGGAGATGAGACCTTCTACAAGACCCTCATGAAGGCAGTGTTTGGGGCTTCAGGATGTAAGGTAAGGGCAGGGAGGTATAGATTGGTAGGTAGGTAGGTAGGTAGGTAGGTAGGTAGGTAGGTAGGTAGGTAGGTAGGTAGGTAGGTAGGCAGGTAGGTAGGCAGGTAGGTAGGTAGGTAGGTAGGTAGGTAAGTAAGTAGGTAGGTAGGTAGGCAGGTAGGTAGGTAGGTAGGTAGGTAGGTTGCTAGGTATATAGGTACGTGGGTAGGCAGGCAGGCAGGTACTTAAAGGATCATGGGACTTAGCAAGTAGGGTTATAACTAAGGTAACTATACTTATAACCCCAATTAGGGGACTTATAACCTTACTTACTAAGTCCCATGATCCTCCAAGTAGGCCGGTATGTATCTATGTAATGTAATGTAATGTAATGTAATGTAATGTAATGTAATGTAATGTAATGTAATGTAATGTAATGTAATGTAATGTAATGTAATGTAATGTCATGTCATGTCATGTCATGTCATGTCATGTCATGTCATGTCA